ATGAGATTGATGAGGCATAATTTTGGAACTGAAGAGAGAACATATCAAATTTAAATCACACGGCTTTTCTTTAAACAAGAAAAAAACATGGATACACAATGAGAAACGAAGCTTGGATTTTGCTTCGATTTCAGGTTTCAAAATCAACTTGAAGCTTCAAAAATTTTGAACTTGTGGTGTAGGCTACATATATCATTTGTTTACTTTTATTGGATGATCGTTGATATCATATTGATGTGATTTCTTGTCTCTTAATATTACATGTTAGGTAAGGAATTAACTTTCAGTGGCAGCTTTTAATCCGTTGTGTTAATTTAATTATGATAGTGCTTAATGTTGTAAATGTTTCTTGAAGAATGAGGATTATTCTTTCTTTCACTGTTTTTGATTCTCATATACATGTTTTCACTTTTTCATACCATGATAAAGATGGTTACCAGTTTTCACTGTTTTTGATTCCCATATACATGTTTTCACTTTCTCAATATATTCTATGATTTCCGACTGATAGAAACTGTAAAGCTAAATGCAATATCTAGAAGCTGATTCTGCAAAAAGGTTTATTGCAACACTGATTTTAATGAAGATGTGAACCTACACTGCTTATACTTAGTTAACAACTGAATGAATAAGTTGATGTAAAGGCTTCATCCAGAACACCCATAATGTTAGAGCTTGAAGCTACTTTTCGCTATAACAGAAGCGTTATAACTTAACCATAATTTATTTTTAATTTTTAAAGAAAAAATACAAACTAACCTGCAAGAGATTTTTATTGTGGTATTTATATATATATACACAGTTGTTGAGCAAGAAGATCTTAAATTTGTATAGATATACACAGTTGTTTTATTTTAAATTTGTTAATGTTAGTCTTGTACTTATGTTTGATTTGCATTTGTGTTTGTTAATTCAGGATTTTTATTTCTCCTAACCAGTGAATACTACATTTGTGGACCCTTTGTTTGACATTTCTCTACTGTTTTTTTCTTGAGTTGTTGCCATTAAGAGAGTTTTAGGGAACATTAACCAGGTTTGTTTCTTTGAACCTTCTTTCTTTGAATAATTTGAACCTTAGCTTTGAAATATTTTTAGGGTTTAATCTTATACTTTTTATATTGGTTGTTTATATGTATTTATACTCTGGTTTCTCACGATTTCTTAATTTGTTTCATGAAATTACAAATCAAGTCCTCCCAAGATAGACAAATATCGATAAATCCTAATCTTTATGGTTGAAACAATGGAATAATGGCACTAAAAAGGAAAACAAAAAGAGGAAAGAGTTTGTGGTTTTCATTACAGAGCTTTGCCACTGCCGAGTATCAATACTACAAGTAAATGATTAAAAGAGATATAATAAAAAAACAGGGGTTATTTTTTTTAAATAATCTGATATAATTATAAGATATTATATGTCCAGAATTTCTTAACTTATTAATCACACACATTACAAACGCAGTTATTCAAACCTATAATCTCTAGAAAGAATAATATCATGTTTTATCACTAAGACCAATTTATAAGTTATTCTTTATGCAAGATTATGCATGCACATTTTGAACATAAATGAATATTTCGGTGTTTAGATCTTGTTTGAATGTGTCTGCTTTTAGAAGTCTTGTTTTATTTTAAATTTGTTAATGTTATTCTTGTACTGATGTTTGGTTTGCATCTGTGTTTGTTAATTCAAGATTTTTATTTCTCCTAACCAGTGAATACTACATATAAATATAAATATTACAACATAATTTACTATTGCCTTGAAATAAAATATTAAAACATAGATCGTACAATATATTCATTGTCAAATAATTAAAAGTCTATGAACAAATCCTACAGTATATTCATCCTAATTTTTTTTTTAAATAACAGCCTATTCCTGCATGTCAAAACCCTAGATCGTATATGAATTTATAGGTGTTTGTTTATTATAGATATCATGCCGAGGAGAAAAATAACTGATTTACGGGTTGTTCGAGCTTCTGAAAACCATGACCAAATAAATAACGAGGAATCGAATGCACCTGAGTCTTCCGAAGTTCCTGAAACTGTTGAAGGAGAAGTAGAAGTTCAAAGTAATCTTTGAAACATTATTTACTACTTTGTTCATTTTCAAAACTGGCATTTAATAATTTATTATATAGTTGAAAATGCTGGAACGCGCAAGACTCGAGGACGTACAACTTTGAAGGAATTATACCAACTTCCTCCTGGACATCGTGTCAAAGTTTTAAGAAATGATGTCGGTCAACCTATTGGCCCAGAATCACGCCTTCTAGCAGGTTACTTAGGCATAGTTGGACGTAATGCGATTCTGTTACCGATCAATTACTATTCATGGCGCGAAATGTCTAATAGTAACAAAAATCAAGCGTTGGATTTTGTTAAGGTAATAATGTCATTATAATAGATACTCTATAGAAATTCAATACTAATTTATACTTACGGTGCACACTTATTTGCTGTATAGGAGAAATTTTCTTTAGAGGTCTCTGACGATTATGTGAAGCAAGCGTTAGGGAAGAGATGGAGGGACCACAAGAGCTCCTTAAAGAAGAAATACTTCAAGAATGATCTTAGCCTTAAAGAGAAGTTGCAAACAGTCCCACCAGGAATGCTCAGGTACCAATGGGAAGATGCAGTCAGATTTTGGAGTTCAAAAAAAGGACAGGTATGATGTATTTTTCAGAAATAATTATAACTATGTGTAAATCATCATTAAAAGTGATTGTTTGACGTTGTAGGACCGAGAGCATGTTGGTGTTGCTAGCAGGCAACAACAAAAGTTTACGCACACGGCTGGATCAAAGAGCTTTGCTTGTATAGCTCATGAGGAGGTATTATAGATTATTGAAATAGCTTTTTTATTTCATGTACATATTAACTCATAGTAATTATATTATGGTACAACGTAGGAAAATACATCCGGTTCTAAAGTTGGTCGAATCCAACTCTTCGACATGACACATACGAAGAAGGATGGCACTCCTATGACTGCTGACGCTGCAGAAATTATGGTACGTTTATTAGGTAGATGTTTTAAATTTACCTGACTTTATTTATATTTGTATCATGACATTTTTTATTTTAATTAATTATTCACTTTATTATTAGGAAAAATTGAGAGAGAAAAATGCGGAGCATCATGCTACTGCTTTGAGTCAAGGTCTTGTTAATGATGATGACATTGAAAACCAAGCTATTAATGACGTTTTAGGTCCTGAAAGATATGGTCGGGTGCGCTGTCAAGGATCATTCGTTACTCCGACCAAATATTTTGGATCCAACTCATCACAGTACATGTCATCAGATTCTCGATCTTCCAACCACGAAGTTAGTCGTTTAAAAGAAAAGTTGGCTGAGATGGATCAACAAATGGCTAACTTGAAAGCGGAAAATGAAGCAAGGGAAGCAGAGAGAGCAGCAGTGGAAGCATAGAAAGAAACAGCGGCAGCACAGAGAGAAGCAACATATCAGTAGAGATGTGAAGAATTTGAAAAAACGACTCAATGATATGATGCTAATGATACAGAAAACGCAACCTCAGAATCCACCATCGTAGTCTCATTTATGTATGTTATGAGCATTCTGTTAATGTTATTGAAACTTGTTTAACTGAACTTATATTATGTTAATGAAAATTTATATTTATTATATTGGATTTGATGTTGTTTGTTATGGATATAGAGTTTAATGTTATAGTTGTTTTGTTTGTTGGATAATGGAACAAGTTGAAAAAATAGATTTGGGGTAATCAAGCATTATTTTTAGAATTGAAAAATCCTGTGTTATTTAGCGGCGTTTGCAAACTAGAAATGTCGCAATATACCAAACATTTAGCGGCGCTTGTATACTACAAACGTCGCAATATACCATGCATTTAGCGGCGTTTTTGCACTAGAAACGCCGCTAATTCTCAACCCTTATTGCATCATTTTCGATAAAAACGCCGCTAAAAACATAACTTACTGCAGCGTTTATGGGAAAAACGTCGCAAAATATCAAAACCTATTACGGCAGTTTTAAGTAAAACGCCGCTACATCTCAAAACCATTTACGGCGTTTTTTTTCCTAAAAACGCCGTTAAACATCAACGCCTATTGCGGCGTTTTTCTGACAAACGCCGCTAAATAACAAATCCTATTTGCGGCGTTTGTTAAAAAAACGCCGCTAACTTTAACGGCGCTATTTTCAGCGGCGCTTTTTGCGGCGTTTGTCATAACGCCGCATGTGTTTTTAACGGCGCTTAAAAACGCTGCAAAATACATGTTTTGATGTAGTGGATCATCTGCCTTTATGACACATTTACTTCTGTCTTTTGGTATTTTTTCGGTCATTTGGTCGTTGAGTTCACTTATATATTTTTTTCTAAGGGATGATTAGACACCGTCACGACTGATTAAGATTGTTTTTATCTGCTATGTTGTTGATCTTTCCTACTCTGAACCTTCGGATTGGATTTGGATACCTGTTATGCATTCATGGATAACATTTCACGTTGCTCTAATATGATTTTTGGTTTGTCGGTGGTTTTTCAATAGTTTGATCTCTTTTTGTGGTTCGTTTGCCGATGCGATCAAATATGTTTGTATCTATCTTTGTTCGAATTTTCTTGATTATATTTTAATATTTCCTTATATAATTCTTATGTGATATTAAGTTGTTACTTTTGTTTCAATTTATGCACGTGACATCTTCATTTCGCGTCTTACTTCTATACCGGAAAGGAGTGTTACAAATAGAGTAAGACAAACAAACTATTCTACATTTACAGAGAACCAAGGTGACAAGATAGCAATCATGTTGATTTATGTGAATGATTAACTAATTATTAGAAAAATAATTGTGATTTTTGTGTTAATTTGAACTCTTGTATTTCTTTTGTACTTGTTAACAACACGTATATCGAAGAATAATAGCGAGGGAATGAAACTCATTTTTCTCGTAATCTTACTAATAGAAAGTTGAATAAAAAAGGCAACTTTGAAGGAAAATTATAGTGAAAATTCATAATATAGTTTCCCCTCAGTGTTGTGTTCAGGGGACTACTTCGTGTCCAAGTTCATCCTGAAGCTCATAATATCCCAACTCCGTAAGAACTTTCTTACACTCAGGGACAGCTTCCTTCTTCTTGAACCCAAGATTGTTCGCAAACCGAATGTCGCCGCTGACACCGGCAAGCGAGGTGAGAACAACCCTGGCTTTTCTCCAGTCTTCCGTCAGATCACTACAATCCGGCCTAGAACTCTTCACCAATGTGACGTGGCAGTCTGAATCCTCGTAATCTCCTTCCACATGGATTCTGTAGTCTCCCGATTGTGTCGTCGTTATTTCCGGGCTCTGAAAGGTGACGGCTCCATCGGTACGGTTCCTGCATTCCAGCTTCACTACCGCTCCTGCCAAATTATAATTTTCCAAAACCTACCTCTTTACATTTTCTTGTATTTCAAGTAAAAAAGAAAAAAAGAAAAAAAATGTTAAAAATGGAGCGACTTCATTATATACCACTTATGGGTTGGCTGATCTTGGTCTCAAATTCAACACGACAAGTGTCACAGTATACGTGACCTACGACTTTGAACTTGTTTGATTCAGCTGCGCCAGGCGCAGCTGCATCTGTCGCATAGGCAAAATTGAACGAGGATGATATGCAAATTGCTAAGGAAACAAGGGCGATCATACAAGCTTCTGTCATTTCTTTCTTCGTGTCTTTTGCTTTTTTTCTTTTTTCTGGGTTATTAAAGCTTGTAAGAGAGGATAGATTTATAGGGACAGATTCAATTATTATGGGAAACAGGTGCTATTCAAATTATCTATTTTTAAGGGTTTGTTGAGAGAGACCAAGACTCCTTCATTCTCGTTTTAATTGTTTGAACTATAAAACAATTCATTATCTATAAAAAGTAACTTTAAGAGATACTTCCAAATGAAATACCATCATTATAATCTGGATGAAAAATGGGGATGAGAACTCTGCTTTCTTTCGTAGTGCAGTCAAACTTCAAAGCAAAAAAAAATGATAGTAATCAATTTTTTTGCACTCATTTCAGCAGCAAAAAGAGAAGATTGCAGGCAGTGTATAATTTGGAATTTAGACTGGAAATGAGGAGTTTTTTTTTAAAGAGATTGACCAGAAGATTCGATTAATTGGGAGGATTCAAATCGTTTTTATTCTACAAAGGATTGTAATACTATGGTGGATCATTTGGCAAAGGCTGGAATGAGCAAACCACATTTGTACAAAGCATGCTGTTTTGTTCTAGGGTGTGCCTTGGGTGGCTTTTTAACCCTTTTTTGCAGGAATGCTGCTGTGTTAATACTGTATGCTGTTGTGTTAATATTGTATGCTGCTGTGTTAATACTGTCCGAGTGGGCTGGTCAGTAGCAAGGTTGAAGAGTTCTACAGAGTTGATCCATCACTCAGGATGTTGTTTGTTTTTGTTATGTTTTGCTTTTATTTAGACTAGTTCGGGTGATTTCTTATTTTGTGATTATTGGATGATGCTCGATTATTTCAGTGCCATCAAATGGTTTCTCCTCACACAGGGTTGTTGCTAGTACACTATTTTTGGTGTCTGCTTAGTCTTGCTCTATGTTCGGATATGCTGTGAAATTAGCTCTTGGGATTGTCGTGGAGGGGCCGTGCATGCTTTGGTGTTTTCGTTTTGTAAGCATAAGTGGACTTGTACTTTGTACCTTGTTAAGAGTACTCTTTTCCTTCAATTAGATTTAGAGAGGTTTTTAACGAGACTCTTAATTTAGGTTTATTTAATTAATAAAATTTATCTTGCCAAACAAAAAATGATAATTAAATGAGAAAAAAATAGAAATAATGAATGAAAAGATGCAATGAAATGTATAACCTAATCTATTTATCGACTTCATTCGCTTGAAAGAATAAATTAGCCTCTAAATAAATAATTGCTTTAATGCCCTAGACACAAGCTCTTCCCAATATTATTTTAAAGAATAAAAAATCAAGGCAAGGCCGATCAAATGAGTTTTAATGCCCTGGGCGAGATAATAATTTTATGCCCCTATACTTGTATCGTATAATAGACAAAACATAAATATTTTTTTAAAACAAAAATGTAATAGAAATTATAGTTAAACAATATCAACACTAATAAACCCTAAACCTATAAGGTTACAAATATTACCTAAAACGATCAGGTGTTTTGGGCTAATTTTTTTGGGCCAAATATATATACACACTATAAGCACTAGAAAAATTATGCTCCCCTCAAATATGTTGTCCTGTGCTAAGATCCATCTCACTCATGTATTGGGTCGGGCCTGATTCAAGGTTCTCATGTAACTTTACCATTGTTGTTATGTCCATTATGGGACTGGGTTAAAATGTTACAGTTTAAAGATTTATAATTATATTTTAATTATAATAAAAATATAAGAACATATATATTAATTTTATAGATTATTGAAAAATATATAATAATATATAGGTTTAGAGTTTGTGATAGTGAAATGTTAAAAGAATAAAAAAAAGGCTAAAAAATACATAAAATTTATAATATAGTAAATGACAAAATATAAAATAAAATAGCACAAAATACAATAATATGAAATATAATAGCACAAAATTATAGTTGACGATTAAGAGATCATAAAAGATATGTATTTTTTCTATTGTAACATGGGTTTCTACAATATCCACAACGTTTAGATTCTCTAGACTTCTCTCTAATATCCACATAATTTCAAATTTGTGTGAATTTTGGGCAATCCGAAGAGTCCCAACAAAATTTTGGATCTAATAAATTAGAGCCAAGTTTGTACTTCATTCCATTCTTTTCAATTACATTATTTTTCATTATTTATAAGAGAAACTTATATTTGTATACTTTGAAAACAAAGTTGGTATGCAAGATTAATGTATCTTTTATAATTGATACTAACATGTGAACACATGTTGCTATGACATGAGAATATGAATATTTTAAAGCTTAAAATAAATAACAATCATACTATTTTTCTCGTAAATTTGCATAACCTTTCTCATAAATTCTAATATTATAGTAATATTAAATACATAAATTAATATTACTCATTATTAAAAATTTAATAATATTATTTTTAAAATGTTATAATAATAAATATTGTTTAATCTTCAGTCTTGTTTCTTGTTTCTAAATAGACATATAGGGCCCCACTAGACTTTACAAATAAAGTAGGGCCTTAATGGTATGTGTAGAAGAGATTTGAAGGTACTTTTTTATTATCTAAAATGACATTTTTTAGACTTTAGTATTAATATTGGTTGAATGGGCGAAGAAATCTGAGAAAATTTAATTGTGAGTATTGATATTGTTACTCACAGGATCGATACTATTAGCAAGGTATCAATATTTTAAAATTAATGATATATTTTTAAGGATTTTATTATTATACTATTTTTAAAAAAATATATATTATTGATAAATTTAATATTATGATATATTTTTAACCTTGTGGTAGAGCACAAGGCTCTTAATCTTATGGTCGTGGGATCGAGTCCTACAGTGGGCAATTCATAATTCTGACTGTCAGAGGTCTTCCGTGGAAGCTGCTTTCAACCTGACGTTGGGGGCAGCCTACGATCTTACCTCCTCCTCACCCCATTACATATGAGAATAGGATAAACTAATTTATATACTTTTAAAATCAATTAAAGATTTTATGCTATATTGTGGATTTTGAGATTTGTTTATGAAAATATAGAATTCACGACCATGAAACAAAAAAAATAGTTAATTAAAAATTTTAGGGTCTAAAAGTCATCGGTAATATTAGTCGATGATAGCTGAGATAATGACCAATTACGGTGATGAGCAGTGGACGATAATTAATAATTTATCTAAAATTTAAGGGTTAATTGATATTTCATCTAAAATTTAAGAGTTAAATTAGTATTTGATATAATATTAAAATTAACCTCCTAATATTTAACCCAAATATTCACTTGATCACCTATTTTTTAAAATATTTTAGTCTCCAAAGTTTTAATTTTTGGGCAAAATGGTCTCTATTAAATAAAAACAGTTAGTTGGCGAACGATCAATTTATGTTATTGATTTGATATTTTCATATGTGTTTAATTGTTGACATGTCACGTACTACCTCATTACCTTAAGTGATGTATTACATATCATATCATTATCTTAAATGATGTGATACTTATCACTTTATCATCTTAAGTGATTTAGCATATGACATATCATTAATTTAGATAACGTGACATATATCACGTCATAACTTTTATTGATGTGATATATATAAAATCAACTTTAATAGTATGACACATATCACATCATCACTTTAACATTAAATAACATGACATGTGACATATCATCAATTTATCACATGAAAAAATTGTCATATCAACAACATATGTTAATCGATAATCAACTAATGGTTTTCGTCCAACAGGAGCTACTTTGGCCAAAATTAAAATGTTGAGGGTTTAAGTACTCTAAAAAAATATGAGTTAAAATTATCATTCGAACAAATATTGTGAGATTGATTTTAGCATTATGTCTTAATATTTTATCTAAAGTTTATAAAATAAATTAAAAATTAGTTATTTATTAACATATCATATCATCAAATTAATGATATTTAATGTGTCAATGGTCAAAATATTATAAATCGTTAATGTAAGTGACCGAAATATTAATATTATTAAATTGATGACTACATATAAACGAAAACAAAACAAAGGTGGCTATTTTAATAATTGATCCCTTACTTAAATACAACAAAACCTATTTAAGATATATCTGCTTTACATAAATGCCTCACTCTCCCTTATTAACATTACTGGCTTCACCCGGAAGGGCACAAGTGAAAGGTAGCGTCTGAACTCCGCTGATATGCAGACGCCAACATCATATGTTCTCCCTCGTCTTTTTAATATTCTTCACCTCATTTCTATCATTGTCACAAATTTTAAATTTTCTTTTCATACAAATTTTAAATTTTCGAGCTCTATTCTTAACGACTTATGTTGCAAAACTGATGAGATGGTGAAAAAAAAATTATGTTGTTTAGAATAAATAATTTTTTTATTTAAGATAATTGTTGGAGTGGACGTTGAAAGTCGATAAGAATATTTAATGTTTTTGGAAAGATGAATGAAAAACACTACGTTTTCAGGCTTTTTATCTGTGGAACATCATGACTGGTCCTCCCTCAACTACAGTTATACCCAACTGAAATATCAAGATTGGTCTCTGAAAATGTTAGGTATTTTTTTACCTTAAAATAAGACATTGCGGATTAACATGTTTTAAAAATTGAATAGGGGACAAAAATGATAATTTTAATAATGTTAAGAACTAATTTTGACATTTTGCCTGGAATAAATGGTAAAGGTATTGGTTGGCTGTGGAAGTAGCATCTTAATAATTCGCAAAAAGCATAGCAAAATTCCTAGCTCAAAATAAGAACGAACCATTCAAATATATATATAGTAGGAAACTATTTGTAATTGCCAAAGATAAAAAAAATTACTGAGATGATAAAGGAAAAGAGAAAAGGAAAACAAAATTTACTCCGTACAATCTGTATCATTTGACCTCGTATTGAGTCCCTTTTTACCGTCGCTGTAAAAAATTGTGGTAGCAATACAACTCCAGATAACCAGCACGCCGTAAAACCACAACAAAGCCGCCGTTTTCCACCCCATGAACACCGTCCAAACCCCGGACATGACGTAATCATCACCGTCCGTTAGCTTCTCAAACCGATTCCCAATCCATCCCGACACACCCACCAACATGCAAGTAACGAACCACCAGTAGAACTTCCGCCCCGCCATTAAAACCGATCCGATCCGAATTGCTTCCCACCCGAATTTTTCCTCTAACGTCGATACCACCAGGCCTAAACCCAATAATCCCATTAAGTAAACTTCGAGACCCGATCCGGCCACCAAGATGAGTAGGCTGGCCCGAGGGTAGTTCCGCAATACGGCTGCGAAGAGCTGCGGGAATTGGATGTAGAGGAAGAAGAGGGAGTAGGAACATAGGGAGGTGACAACTACGCGCTTCCAAGCGAGTCTGATGGCAGCGGCGGTGGAGAGGAAGGAAGGACGGTGGGGAGGGGAGACGGAGGCGACATGGACGGCGGATATGAAGGATAGAAGAGAGAAAACGGATGAAGGAAAGGAATAGAGCAGTTTGAGACGGAGGAGGGAGATGGATTCTTCACGGGACTCTTTCAAGAGGTGACCGGATTCGAAGTTGGAGGCGGTAAGCAAAGCGGCAGATTCGAGGTGGAGGATGTGGCGTTTGAGAGGGCGCGAAGTGTAGGAAAGGGAGAAGAGGAGGAAGGAAAGAGGGAGGGCCAAGAAAAGGAGGATTGAGAAGAAAATGTGCTTGTTTTGAAACAAAATTCTCAAGGAACCGGAAAAGAGTGCAAGGACGATAGAAGAAGAAGAAGAAGGTGGTTTTGTGGGTTTATTTTGTTGTTGATTATGATCACGTATTTCGGATTCGGTGTCCGACATTGTTTTTCTGTTTTACAATTTCTTCAATTATATTTTTTTTTCTTCTAATCTTTGTATGGACTTTGAAGTCCCAAGTGTGTTTCTAAGATAAGGTAACATGGAAGAGAAAAGATTTTAGGGGGGACCCATTTGTTATAAATATTGGACTAGAGCGATAAAGGTTGTTTGGGTATTGAGAAAGTGGGAGGAAAATACAAGAAATTATTTGTGTGACATGATGTGAGATGAACGAATAATATTATGATAAAATGATGGATTTTTAAAAATTTTAAAAAATATAAATTTATAAATTTATAGAGAGATGAAATCATAGTATTAATAGAAAATAGAATAAGTACATAAATCATCTATCAATTATAAGATATTATTTTATTGAGTTTTTCGATTATTAAAAATTATAAAATGATCTTTTAAATATAGGAGATAATATACATAAAACTTTTAATAAAAATAAATAAGATTAAAATATATAAATAATTAGATGATCATCTTATAACTTTATATAATTAAAAAAAAATTCTCGATGGTCCAAATGGGATCTACGCTTTAGAATAAATTATTGTATATGTGATGTTTGAGTAAAAACTTTCAATCACTCAACTGTATCACTTGAATTAAGATGTTAACGGCACCTACAAATATGTAATTAATATATGCACGTTTATTTAAAAATCTTTCAAAAAAATTTGGAAGTTCTGTAGAAGTGTAAATTTGATCCTAATTATACCTGTATATCTACACTACTATTTATACAATTAGATATAGATTACTATTTATACTGTTAGATGTAAATTACTATTTAAAGTATAAGTGTAAGTATAAGGATGTTTTTTTTTGTCAGGAATAGTATCTAAAATCCTAAAAACCTCTGCTGCAGTTACAACATTTATTGGCGGTTATTATAAGTTTTTCATCGCAGGCAGCGGTGGTAGTTTCCAGCAGCTACCTTATCATTTTATTTTCTTTAATTGATTGGTTTGATTTTATTAGTTTACAGTGATATTTTTATGTATTTAAAATAATATTTTTTCTTGACCTTTATTCTAGTAAAGTGTATCATAACTATCGATGTTTTTAGATTTTCGGTGCAAGTTTCTTCAATTAGTATTTTTCATGGCCTATGGTTCTTCGAGATTTCATGGTTGTTTGTTTTTCCTATGTCTGATTCTTTTGTTCATTTGCATATGACATTATGTTGGTTATTGAATATATGTGTCAGACGATACTACAATTAAATGAGGATTCGTTTTCATTTGTTCACTTCGGCTTTCTTCTTCTATGTCAGATGTTTTGGGACGTCAGAATGATCCATCTCTGTCCGTCGTTGCATCAATTGTTTACGCTATCGCTCATTAGGCTGTCACTAGTCAATCACCACTATGTTTTGCTTATGATAGACATAAATGTATTTATCATGTATGTATGTGGCAATACGTTGCTGATGATTTTTTGTTCAACGGAAGAAAATATTATATTTCTACTTTAAAAAAAAATAGTCAAACGATAACCGGATTACAAAAACATCTAAAAATGATAAATGAAAGAGTTGTGAACTATTCATTTAAACAAACCGAGAAATTTTTTTTGAATAATGGAGTAAGAAAAAAAAACACTTATACAAGGTTTAGTAGAAATTACTTTTTGAAATAAAATGTTTGTTATAATTTAGTGGAAATCATCAGGATTATATAATTTTGAAAAGTGTATAATTTACTTATCAACTTTCTTATAGAGATGATGTAGAGAAACATGATTTTGAATAAAAATTATGTCGATTTCTGAAAGTCATCATATAATTTTGACAACTTTTATCATAAAGTACTATAATAAAAACTTTACTTTAAAAATAAATTTTATTGCATCTTATTCGAACTATTTTATTTTCTCACTCCATAATTCAAGTCAAATTGACAAACAAATGAAGTGATAAAGAGAACTCAAAAAATAAAAGAAAAATGGTGTAAAGTCTATTTCATGGATGTTCGTACACCCGGTATAAATGAGAGGACGGAAAATAAATGCAATTCGAAGCGATTAATGGGATAAATTTTTTTTAATAATGTATTGAGAAAATATATCCATATATAGTGCATGAGAAGTTATTTTTTTTAATTAGGATATTTATTAGGTACCTGTTAGAATTCGTCTGGAATATATGACAACTTCTGAAAATTGCATGGAATACACGATGATTTTTAAAAGTCACCTGAAACACACGACGACTTCTAAAAGTCGTTTGGACTGCAAGACATCTTCTTCAGACTTCATGCATGCACAACAACATGGATAGTTGGTAACACTCCGAAAGTCACTGGGTGATCCAAGCATCTTCCGAAAGTGATCGTATGATCCAAGCAACTTCCAAAGGTATAGTAACGAACACTCTAGTTGAAAAAATAAATCTTTGGCACTGTATATGATCAGTTTTTTCTAAGACGTTATTGGAGCAATTTTGGCCGGTGAGGATACTCCTAAAACTATGTTTGATTTTGCTGAGTCGGAAAGGTATATGTTAATCTTCTTAAGATTTCATGTATTTGGATTTTGGAGGATGACATCTCTTTACTCGTATTTAAATGCACCTTTGGCGTAAAATACGAATACCTTTAAGAAGTATGAAGTGTTTTAGTAAGTAACACGCGATTTATCATTTGGGTTTGGATATTCTTTTCAGAAGTTTGTACAGGCCAAATACATTCTTGTGCTCCCACAAGTATGGGATGAAAAATGACCGATACTTGGCGGGTGATAGTTCCCTGTCCAAGTAAGGCAATGCTGCAACAGCCTGAAAAGGTGCAATTTCAATAAATCACGTGACAAAAACAACATAAAAACGAAGAAAAATGAAGAGATACAAATACTGGTGCCCATGTCGATAGGTCATTTCCACGATGATGGTAAGGCCGGTCAAGTTGAAGCTCGACCAGGAATGAACAAGCTTGAAGATCCTCAAGCTGCATATAATATGTGAATCTAAAAGCATGAAGATTAAGGCTATTCTATGTAAACTGGCTAGTTCAGTGGAAGGAGTTACGTATTGTTCATATGATGCCTTGTTTTTATTGTTGAAGTATGGCGGTGCTGCTGAAGTCCCACCCGGCGTTGCATTGAAAGGGAAAGGAAGAAGACCCTGGAATCCGTCATTAATCCATCTCACCTCACCGACGTAATCCGGAACAAAAAACGATGATGGGAACCGGTGCCACTCGCTTCCAACACAAAGTACAGAACCTGATGAATCTAAAAAATACACACAAACTTCTATCTGACATGCAATACGACACAAAAACTTTGATTTACTGAATCATATAAAGATTAATCATTACCAGTTCCTGCATCATCATAGTGATCCAAGATCTTGTAAACCTTGAAAGAAGCAGCATAACCATTGATCAATGAAAACGTACGTGCATGCGAGGCACATAATATGAGGCAGAGAGCCCCTGGTCTTAGAACTTTAGCTATCTGAATAAACATTTCAAGAACACTTAAATCAGGGTTAGTGTCGTAGGTGTGGGGAAAACAAATAGATGTAGAAGATTCCCACCACAACTATAGTAGATTTATCATAGGGACTATTTGTCTCGGACAATATCAGGTAAGCTCTCGATGATTGCTGAAGCAGCAAGACAAACAAGAGGGAACACTGGATAATGGAATCTGCACTGCCAAGTAAATATAATGGACTGTTACATCTCAAACCATGAAAGATGGAGGATGAAATGACAATCCAACGAAAGAACAAACAAGGTACGAATTTCTTTCAAGAACAGATTAACTATTCAAAAGGAGAAATTAAAGATTGTACTAATTCAGGAGACAGGACATGCAAAGAGGCGATAACAGATATGCTACATTTGTTTCCTCACTACTAGCGCCAAGCTTTTAATGAAGTAGTTGGACGTTGAATCAGTGGAGCTTTTAGTTCCTGGTTCAACTGGCTAGTTATATTAATCTTGCAGTTGATCTTCAACAAACACTAAAAATGAATGGTAAGGATGGTTATGATAATAGAGATTAACCATACCTTTCTTCTTTGTGCAACTGCAGAGACATTAATGTCAACCAAATATAAAGTGGAGAGACCACGATAAGCAGGTCTGGGGCATACTTTTTCCTTACAATTGGCAGAATAGCAAGGAAAAGCAGAGCAAAGATGAAACAGAAGTTGAAATTGTTAAACCCGTTCCTTAGATAAAAAAGTGGCGTCCCATACAAATGATTCTCACCACCTCCCAAGACATTATACATTAGGAGATTAAAAACAGATGATGTCCATCGCTGATAGTAGTAATAATCAACAAGTATGGGGAGTGCCTGGAGAAAGAACTTCAATCATTCACAAACATATGGAAAAACTAAATATGAACTGATTACAAATTATGTAAATAACTAATTGAGTTATTAAAATAATATATCCAGAATATTTACAGATATTAACCGAAATTGGGTATAAATATGCTTACAAGAAGAGCAATTGAGGTGACCGTTCCATAAAGAAATGCTTGTTTGAATTGTTTAGATAAAGAAAATAACGTGACTGGAAGAAATGCCAAAATTGAAAATGGCCAACCTAGGATTACTCCCACAGCTGCAACTGCTACGGCCTGTGCCGGTTTATCAAGAAGAAATAGCCCTGATGAGAGGCTCATGGAATACATAGAAAATAAACTAGGCATAAAACCTGGGGAAAAGAAAGCTCACAGTAACAAAGGAAAATTGAATTTGTTATGCATTCTCATATGGCTTGAAACATGGACGGTAAAGCATGATCGTAGTACTTGTATCTGTATTCTGGAAATTGACAAAGATGGGTTAGAGGAATCACTCACTTGTGCTGGCAAAGAAACAACCACTAGCCAAGCAAAGCATTGCAAGTGCATAAAAAGCAAGATGTTTTCCATACATTCTGGAAACTGCTATCACTAAAGTGGCATCTGAAATCACAGATAGAAGACCAAGAAAGAGTCTCGCTGCATAGAAGACTCTCACCTGTAAGATAGATAGAAATATAAAGATTGTTCAGAACTTAAAAAAATCAGAAAGTTAACATCTTAGAAAGATTTAAACTTACTTTTCATAGGCAAAGAGCCAGGAAGCAGGTTGATCAACTACTTCGTGGAAAATAATGTATAAATATGATCGGAGAGCAAAATGAGAACTGCAGTAGACATACAAAACAGATAACTGCCTTAGCAGAACACTTCTTAACAACTTATTCAAACTTACTTTCTCATATGCAAAGAGCCAGGAAGCAGGTCGACCAACAACATCTTGGAAAATAATTTACAAATATGATTGGAGAGCAAACTGAGAACTGCAGTAGACATAGAAAACAGATAACTGCCTTAGCAAATCATTTCTTAACAGCTTAGGCTCCATTTGGATTCCACTGAAACCTAATGCACAGCTTTCAAGATAATTTTCGCTCCTAACTCCTAGGCCTGTAAACGAACCGAACGCACAAGAACGGAGGTATGTTCATGTTCGTTCATTTAATAAATAAACGAACATAAACAAACACGAACATAAACGAACAAAATTTTTTTTGTTCATGTTCGTTCACGAAAATAAAAGAACACGAACATAAATGAATACGAACATAAACGTTGGAGACCATACCTTCCATCATTCTTTCATGAAAAATAGTCGACAATGCAAATCAACCAAATCTACAGTGATAAATAGCGTAAGAGCTGATTAGCAGTGATGAAATGTTTAAAGATATCAGATATTTCGATCGATCTTTTAAAGATATTAAATGATTCACACGACTTTAATTTAACACTATAACATTTATCTTAGTGGTCCATGATTATATATGAACAATCATTTTTCACTACGCTATTCTAATAAATTCGCCGACTAAAAGTTTTGTGACATCAATGTCAGACTTTAGTGAGATTTGTTAATAATGGTCATTTCCATTGGCAGAGTAGAAAATTTAACAGCATGAAGATTTTGAACGGTACAAATTGGACTATAAGGCAATAACATAGATCCGAAATCCCTCCGATGCTACATATCTAACTGATATTATTGCTAAACCACCATTCAAAATTTTAACGTACCTAAAGTCTACTCCACAACTAAATGTCACACAAGAACTATGAAAACAAAAGTTCATTGTCAAAGTGTATTTTCTACTTATTAATGGGTTCTTCCTGGAAAACCCATTACTTCCGCTATTACTCTTTTACAGAAATTGCATAGAAACCTTTGTTTTGTTTTCTGGCAAATTCTATATATTTTTCTCTTTACTGATGCTCATATACTTCTGATTGTTACCTTTATCTTCCCATCTATTTCTAGAAAAAAATATGATGTTTTCTTGAGTTTTAGATGTAAAGATACCCTCAATAACTTTACATATTAACTATTAAGCCAAATAAAACAGAGAAAGAGATGAAAACAGACATGTAAAACTTCAGATTGCACTATAATATAACTTGTTTTGAAGCTTTCACCGATCGTCTCCACTCTCCAATGAACACTAGGATTTGGGAAAAAGGGAGAAAATGAATATAGGTGCGAGGTGCCTCACGAGTTAACATATTGGATTTAATCTCCAAATAAAATTGGGTTAATTATGGAGTTGGTCATCAGAATATCAGATTAATTAATATTTTTAAGATACTTACAAATTAGTCACCAAAATTGATTTAAGAAGATTGGGTTAAACATAAATGAACGAAGATAACCGAACGAACATAAACGAACATAACCGAACGTTCACGAACGTAAATGAACGAACGAGACCTATGTTGGTGTTCGTTCATTTAATTAAACGAACACAAAATCTTGTTCATGTTCGTTCATTTAATAAATAAACGCACATAAACGAACTTCCCGCCGCACTGTTCATGAACGGTTCGCTGAACGTTCAGTTCATTTACATGCCTACAATAACTCCCCATACTCTGGTGTTTGGATAACAACACAATGGTGAGTTTGGCAAATGGACCCATAAGAGCTATATGCATTTTAAATGTGTTCAACTCTCATCAATACTTTGGTGTTTTAATAAAACAACAAAATGGTGAGTTTTGTCAACTGGGCCCTTCTCAACTGGAGGTAACAGTACTCAATCTCACCACTGTAGTGACTAATCTCATAGTCCGTCCAAAGGGAGCCTTAGAGTCATCTAATCACCAGCACAAACCATTTTTCAAGTAACAGTATGAAAGTATCATGTTCCTATAAAATAAAAAAGCATTTAGAGGAGAAGGAACTGAATCCAAATCAAGACAAGGACCATCTGCAACTACTTGGTAATGGAAAAGAAACCCTTCCGCCTCACTTAAAAACTAATTGTAACCATGTCATGCGTATGGAATTAGATCCCTACAAATTCAAACGACCTACATTTCAGAATACATTGGTTCCAGCACACATGCAATCCCGCAAACTTCTTTGATATCCATCAGGCCTATTACGGACATAACATGTTTAGCACACTCATAGACATATATGCATTTGATGCATAGACCATAAGTATGTCTTTTATGTATCACCTAGCAGTGTCTAACTATACACTTCAAAGACTGAATTTAAATGGTAATAATAGAGCTAAAATTCCCAAAGAAATCCATTCCTAATTCCTCATTTTCCATCACTTCCTCCCTCACCAAACAATGCTTAACAACCCCAACCCAAAAATTTAAGATGCCCTTTAATAGTTACTTTTACTGCTTTTCTTTTAGATTTACTTTTGGCAAAAATGCACAAGTCACGTTGATTTAACAATGAACAAATACTTAAAACATAACCAACATTGACACACAATAATAATTCTAATAAAAATGCATTCATCTTATTCGCAAAAGTTAATCTTTATACTTCAAATACGGAATTTATCCTTGTTTCCAAATCAAATTCACATTCTTCATACGCGTAGAACGCAGAGAAGAGCAAAAGAAACAATCAAATAACCTTATAAGCGTATTTATATAATTATGCATATTAGTACAAAAATGTTATAAATCTTGATCATACTTACGTTAGTACGATAGTCAAAGACAATTTTGGATACTCGAATCCCTATTATTTAAAAAGAAAACAACTGACAAAGTTTAAGACCTAGGTTGATTAATTTAAGAAGCGTATCTTTGACAACTCAATATCAACATGTTTGACCATAAGATTCTCAAATCTAACATTGTTTAAATGTTAATTTTTTTAAAGTGCTTAAATATAGATTTTAAACTTACACACATTGAGGGGTTGAAGACAATACTCGTAGACATGTGTTGTTGTCATCTAACTCAACTAGCATGAGCAAATACTTATTTTTGACACTATCACACATCCTTCTCTTTTTTGGATCAAATATCGTATGATATTTTCATATTTTTTACACGTATTTTGTTTTCCTTTCATTTTGATCCCATATTCATAAAATCATAATATGATGTCAATTCAAAAAATAATCTAAAACGGATGTTAAATCTGTAAATAATTTCTAAATTTGTGATACTGCAGTAAAAATGTCCATTTTCCTAAAAACAAATTGAGCTTTATTTTGTTATTAGGGGGAAAACTAAATGGGCCTTAAACCATCTCAAAGGAATTATTGCCTAAAACGCAGCGTATTTCTGTCTTTATTACCTAAAAAATGATCCAAAAATTTCCAGCGATTTTCGCCGCAAAAAAAAGAAATGTATCCTCAGAATCTGTCCTTCTCTAAAACCCTAAGCCCTCCTTTCTTTCTCTTTCCTTCCCCTAAGCCCTGTCTCTTCGCTTCGTTTCCCCGACAATGCCACCCATTTTTGCGCCAATACCCGCCCATTCTTTCGGTTCACCACCGAGACATCCGTGCATTTGCTGGCCGGAGCAAGAAGAAATCGGTTGGCCAATCATCGGGTAGACTCGAAGGAAATGGAGAGATAAGGCGCGCCGCGAAGCAAAACGCGCGTCGAAGATCGGAAAAGCGAGCCGAATCCCTATTTTACCGGTCAAAAAAACCGGGAAAAGGTAACTATGCTGATAACTTCACCGAAGATGAGCTGGAAGCAATCGGGCTCGGGTATGACCGGATGGTCCGGTTCATGGAAAAAGACGACCCGAATTTGAAACATCCTTTGATTGGTACAAGTATGGCGAATTTGGTCCGTATTCATGGCGTGGGGTTGTTGTCGGGGAACCAATTAGAGGGCGGTTTTCGGATGAAAGGGTGACAATGATCGGGGAAGTGAAGAACCATGAGGAATGGGAGAAGATTGAGCAGTTCGAGATGGCTTCAGAGTTTGGGAAAAGATTGGAAACGATGGATAAAAATGTTGGTTTTAGGTATTTCTGGGTTTTGTTAGACACCCAAAATGGAGATTAAATGAATTGCCTTGGGAACAATGGACTTTAGTTAGTGAAGTTGTGATTGAAGCAAAGAAAACTGAGAGGTTAGATAAGTGGAGTTTGATGGGAAGATTAGGAAACAAAGCTAGATCATTGATTACCCAATGTGCAGCTTGGATGAGACCAGATATCATTTATGTCAAGAAGCCTGTTTACCAGTGTAGATTTGAGGGCCAAGATGAGTTCTTTAACGCATTGGTACCGTTTCTCGATCCGAAAACGGAAAGGGATTACTTGTTTGAGGTTGAAAACGAGGATGGGAGTGTGGATATGTGTTGTTATTTCGAAGGGTTGTGTAAGATTGTGAAGGTGAGTCAAAAGGCTTTTGTGGATGATGTGGTGAAAGGTTTGAGAATTTGAGTGAAGAAGGAAAGTCCAGGTGTTTGGGGTTTTTGTTGGAGAATCATCCTGTGCGTCTTTTGCATCCCTATACTAAGGAATGGAAGGCTAAGTTGGAGGAGATGGAGTTGGGTTGTGATGCACCAGATGACGATGAGGACTACAGTGGACATCGAGATTCCGGTGAGGTGCAGTTCACAGATTGGATTGAGGATGATGAGGATGAAGATGAAGGTGCCGCAGAGGATCAAGATGATGTGGTAGTGGACATTGAAGATGACGGAGATGAAGAATTTGGGACCGAAGAGGAATCTGAGGAAGAAGAGGATGAAAAGTACTGGGAGGAAGAATTTCAGAAGGCATTAAGTAGCTCTGATAGGATGGAAAAGCTTGCAAAACGAAGTGTTGAGATATCTACAGAATTCTACAAGCAGCAATTGGGGGCAATGCAAGCTGACAGAAAGGAAAAGGTTATGGAAGATGGAGATGAAACTGAACTGAGAGGTAAATGGGCAAAAGTGAGACCCGAAGAGTGGAAGCAGGCCGGGATCGGTCGATGGAGGAAGAGGATTAAGAAGAGTAAAATCCCGCCGGAGCTGTTTCTGCGAGCAGCGGTTCGACCGTTTACTTATAGGAATCTTGTGAAGGAGATTGTCTTGACAAGGCATGCAATATTGGAAGGTGAGATTGGTAGGAAAGATTAAGGAAGCAATATCCATGAGAAGAAAACTAGCT